GATGGTGAAATATTTCTTCTTTTTTATTATAAATATTTTTTTTAAATATACTTTCGGCTAAGTAAATTAACGCGTACCAAGGCCATTTTGTTCGTATAATTGTCAAATATCAATTTTTCTAAAAATATTACAATTCCGAGATGACGGTACTTTCAATGTCACCGGCTCCAGAAGCGGCCCTACAGTCAATGACATTTGTTAATGTCACAAATTATTGTGAAACTGAAAATAAGGCAAATTTTAAACTACGGTACCTCAAAATCAATAACTTCTGAACAACTTTATCTGAACAGAATTTAGGAAATTATGTGATGGCCGTTTAACAAGCACTAATCTTCATAGAATAAAAAACTGATTACATACTGTAAATTAACACTGACTTTGATATTGACATTGACATGAAAATTTACCTACTTGGTTAATCGTTTATGTAATTAAACTTAAAACTGCCTAAATATTTGTGAAAATTATCATGTGTCTCTTTAAAAGAACATTAAAAATAGAAAACATTTGTCAGACAATGTAATCTTAAAATAATAAATAAGTCGATCAATTGATAAGATATTGGGTAACAAATGATAACAGATTTTAATTTAAAATGTTGCTTTATCTTATCACTGTGTTTTCGACTAAATTTTCCATTTTGCTACAATGAAAGTACAATATTGCGCAATTTCCCTTTCAACTGCAATTGGATACGATAATAACTCACCCATTCATATCTATCTGTACAACCAATGTCACGTGCGCCTGCGTCGCGTAGTATCTCCGATCAAACAAGAACTAGGTACACAAAGCTACACCAACTGAAACGATTTCAAATTGTCGTAGGTAACGTTCAAATTCAAACAGGCCACGTGTTTATGAGATGTGAAGCGTTTGCGCGATTCGATTTTCTTTTCTAGTAGTAGTACTGGGTGATCAACAAAACATAGGAAAAAGAGTTGTATTCCGAAAAAAGAAGTCCTAAAGAATATTAAATGCTTTGAAATCATTCCGTACGTATTCTGTATTGGTCACAAGCAAAATAAATACTTAAAAAAAGAAAGGACGCAGCAGATTTGATATTAAAATTAGAGATGAACTGGATAATGATTTTGCTGAATACCTACAAATTACACGTAGATAACGATTTCCATTACATTGAATCTCGTCGGAATGCAGATTTTTTTTTAATGCTTTCGTGGAAGAGGGGAAATCTACAAAAGCCGTCCGTACGACTGGGTAGTGTCGGATTCCCGAGGACGAAATCCTCGGACCGACCGATGCAGATCCAACTGTACCTGCTGCCTTTAGGTAGCGTTTAAGAATTCCTACACACAGCACAACGAACGCCATCTGTAGAAGACTGCTACATTTTGTGGGGTTGAAATATGCTCGACAAGGTCCATATCCACGTCTGGTTACGTTCCTACCAAGTAGGGGAGGTACCTACAATAGCAACGCTGCGTAGTGGTTTCAGTTCGACAAGTCGGTATTTTTATGGACTTTATTGAACATTTATAAATTTACAAAATGTAATAATTTTCTATAGATGGCGTTCACTGCACTGTTTGTAGTAATTCAACATGACGTTTTTCAGCAGTCATAATTCATAATAATAACGTTATTGAATGCGCGTTGATTTAGTAAAAGCTTTTGACAATGATAAATGGGACACAATGTTAAATATACTTGAAAATTGATTAGCATCTAGCAAAGAGGAGTTAGTGACAGCTTTAAATAAAATGGAAGTGGAATAGTATTGCACGGAAATAAATAAACCAAATCAAAAGTACTGGTATGCAAGGGTAGAAAAAGTAGGGAAAGAGCGAACATAAAGATAGGAGACGAAAAATTAGAATAACTTGCTGACTTTTGCTATCTGGGAAGTCAGATAAGTCAGGACGGAAGAAGTAGTAGAGATATAAAGCATAGTATAGCGCAGGGTCGACTCGCCTTCGATAAAAAGAAGTCACTTCTATGCTCGTGAACGGTTAATTTAGAAATTCGAAAAAGATTGTTAAAGGTGTATGTTCTGAGCGCCGCGACGTTGTACGGATACGAAATAAGGACAGTGGGCGCCGCAAAAAAGGAAAGGTTGGAAGCGTTCGAAATGCAGTGTTGCAGGCGAATGATGAAGATATCGTGGATAGAGAAGGTTAAAAATGAAGAGGTATTAGAAAAAATTGGAGAACATAGGACTCTATGGAAGTCAATACGAAATAGCCGAGATAGGTTGGCAGGACATCTTCTCAGGCATGAAAGTCTAAACACAGACTTATTAGAGACAGAAACAGGAGTTAAGAGGAGTAGAGGTAGACCTAGATTAGATTACTGTTCGCAAATAGTTAAGGATATGATATGGTAGTTTTAGGGAAATGCGAAGATTAGCTCAGGATAGGAAGGAATGGAGGTGCGTGTCCAATCAGTCTCAGGACTGACGACCTTATGAGGATGAAGTTATCTCCGCCTGTATGTATTAGGTATAGAACATCATTCTTCCGTGCCTTACATCCTTGAAGATGTGAAGATGGTCAACTATTATGGTTTAATAACGGATGGGATATGGGATCTTGCACATTGATGCTAATTGTTTTGGCAAAGATTAGCGTAACAATTTTTTGCAAGTCATTCGATCCTTTCTACTGCTCATTCTCTGACAAACATTCATGTAATAATTTATTTTTTTGCGGATAACTGATAATTATATATCCAAACTAATAAATAAACAAATGTAATGAACTAAACCATAACATAGTTATAATAAATCTGTAGATATACAGTAATTCACACAAATAACGATTATTGAATTTTTATTAGTTTTCGAATATTAGGCAGCCAACATCAGTGAAATGAAAAATTATTTAACGTAGGTTTGTATGTGTTTTAAATTCATCAGTGTGTACATACAGTTGTTATGGTTTTATTAAAGTTCCATTTTGTAACTTCCATTAAGCCTACATAAATATAAATTTTATATTATTTATTAAAATTATTTGCAATGGAACTCTTAACAACACTATTACAAAATACCTACCTAATATTTTGTTTACCTTTTTGCAATGTAATAATTTACAAACAACTTATTACCTATGTAATCATAATATTCATAACCTTCATAAACCTAATCTGTATACTTATATTGTATTGTTCATACAGTTTTTAAGTATTGCTAACTAATGTTTTATGTGAACCGTGTTTAGTTCGTTTACATTATATACAACAGCAATACTAAATACGAAGTCATTTCCTGATTTTCGAATTTCAGGCAATATTGCATGATAAGCAATTTACCTGACGATGAGCCACGCAAATTTTGACAATATTAATAATCAGTAATACGCTTTAATACGATTCTAAATTGCATTCATCACCAAATTCTAAAACACGATACAAAGCTATTCAATCATGAATAGTAGTGCGAGTCGAAAACAAGCGTTAAAGCCTTTAATATGTCTTCAAATATAAATAAACATCTCGTTGATATTTTCAGTAGTAAATTTGTAGTGGATAAAATGGTCAATTTTTCCGTGAAGTACTGTACGAATTATACGCTCCTCACCAGTTAAGAATTTGACAGAGAGTTGTTTCCTTCCTTTTCTGGCCTAGTGCTGTTCTTTTCTACTTTGCGCCGGTCAAGCTGAAGGCCACATCGCTACAGAAAGTAGACGAAGTATATCTATTAAAGACAACGTCTCATCGCAGCCTTTTCTAGCTTACTCTATAAAACATCTATATTGTAAAGAGACCTGTAGTTTTCACCATACGTAATATAGATTAACAATCGACAACGCATGTCATTTTTCAAAGGCCAACTGAAACCGTAATACATGCAATGGTTTACTAACTATTACCTGCGACTGTTTGCTTCCATTAAAGAAAGTAGATTTTAATAGGGTTTAATATCAAATATTAATGTGAAAATTTCATTTTAATTAACAATCCCACTACAAACTACCTCAAGTTAATGAGGGAAAATCTGCGACCAAGTAGGTACGTTTTGTGGTTGTTGCTGTTGTCACCTCTTGTAGCTTAGTGGTCAGAGTATTGGTGCGTAAAGCCAAAGGTCCCCGGGTTCGATTCCCGGCAAGGGTGGTGACAACAGCAACAAAAAAAAAATTTCCCTCATTAACTTGTAGTGGGATTGTTAATTAAAAATGAACTTTCACATTAATATAAGGAAAGTATAGTTGTAATCAGATCATGTAATGCGAAAAAGAGATTCATATAATTTCAAACACAGATCACAATGCAGACAGCATACAAACAAGTTCGATGTACATAGTGTGTAGTTCAAGGTGTGCAGTAGATGTAACTTGAATATAAAATTCCAAACAATTAAACGTCTATGGGTTATTATTTTAATAACTAAATGCACCGCTAATTAGTTTTGTTGGTCCGCTTTATTCTGCACTACTAATAGGTAGCATCAGGATAGTGCCAGATACGAGCCTTTACAAGTTAAAAGAATAGATGAATTAACTTTCTAGAAATAAAGTAGTAAGCATTTGCAGAACACTCTCTCCTCTCGCTTTATCACTGTTTATCAATATAAAATATCCACTTAATCTTATCATTCAATTTCAGTTAATAATGATATAAATTGCAGCATCCTTTAGAATAATTTGCTCACAAGCTAAAATATTCTTTTGTATAGATTATTTGCTCTAGTTTTCGTTTTTTCTCCATTTTTTCAATTATAGTGTAGATTTAAAACCTTAAAGGGCAGAATAACGTTTTTTCTTTTTATTTGGAAAAACTATCATCGATGTTTCGCCTTAATTGCAAAGCTTCTTTAAGTTTAAATTTAGACCATAATCTTACTTGATCGATAATTTTTACAATAAAAAAAAAATCATTTTTACCCTACATTAGCTTTGAATCTGCATGCCAATAAATTACTTGGTACTAACACTTGTAAACTAAGATAACAGTTGACAAATACTTAGCACTAGTTGAAGCATTTCACAAATAAAAAATCCGGGATTTCAATTAAATAAACTACCGAATTTCCTGACCTTTCCTCCTTTTCCTTAGAGTGGCTAGCCTGGAGAAAAGAAAAACACTATTATAAAGCTGAAATCATAATCGTTTCAACAAACAAAATAATTTAACTATTTTTTATTATTTCCAATCTCTGCAGTGCGTTACTATTGAAAGAAAAAAAGGAAAATCTTTCAAATTATGTTACTTAAATATAGTTTGCTATCTACAAACAAAAGCGATGGTAATTTTTTGGTTCCATCGCATTAAATAAACACATAACGTAGTCATACGTGACCGCAATTTTTTTCTATTTCTGCTGATTTAGTGAAGGACAAAGATAGATGTTAGTATGCGTTAGTTTTTCCACCAATTCGAATGCTAATAGTTACTTGAACTAATTATTTATTAAGACATTGGTTGTGCTGACGAAGCAGGTTCCTAAATTTAACAGTTTTTCGCTGACTATGAAACAGTTACGACGAAATAATTTGAGATTAATCGGTCACGTGCACGTAAAGTAACTGTTACTGTACTCCAAAAGACATTTTACAACATAGACAATAGAGGAGGGTTCGCGTGTAGGTAGGGAAACCTAAGGAAACTTCTGGTTTTTAATTAAATTATCTATTTTATTTATTGTCGCATTCATATCTGTGTTTACTTACTGACAGAAAAGTAACGAAGTACTTGAAACCATTGGAAATTTTTATTATTAAGTTGCCTGGTTTTTAGTAAGTAGATTAATGTTCGCTGATATCTATCGCATGTACTGAGGACTAAAAAATTATTTAACAAGAATACTAAGACAACGCTGTATCACGGTGACCACAGATTTTTAAATACCAAATTCCCTGATTTTTACAGGGTTTTGCAGTAATGTGACCACCATGTGTATTCGCCGACGATGAGTACACTCCGGGATGTTTTTCTCAAAAAAGGACAAGAAACTGTTCTTATCGGCAACATTCCTGGATTAGGATACTAGTCGGTTTACTAGTATATAATCGTAAAAAATCTTCCATCGGAAGAGTGAAATTACAACTTCGATAATTCTAAATAATTAATTATCCAAAAGCTTGCGGTTTACTAGGATATGACAACCGCACAAACCATCCAATAGCGACGTTCGTTTCTGATCGTTGGAGAGTTTCCTTACCATGCTGAGCTTGATACATCCGTTGTAGATACTTATCACCGTAATGCATCTCCAATCGGTCCACAAGGATCTTGAAATCGTCTCATGGCTTTTTCCGCTACAGTTTCGAACTGTTTGAGGTAGACGAACCATGGAAACTTTTACATCAAACGTTTTACTTTCGACATCCTTACTTTCCTAAATGAGTTTGAAGATTTCCAACAATTCAGAGTGAGTGTTATTTCATGTAATTTTTCTTGTATTTCTTTTATTTCTTTATTATACATTTCTGTCCTTACTCTCTTTAATTCTTCTTTTAGTTCTTCTAACTCCATGTTTATTATTTTGAAATCTCCTTAAATTATTCCCCGACGTTATCAATTCCCCCTGATCTGTTTTCAATTTTCCTTCAATTCTTCAAGCATTTACATCAAAATTTTCATTTATTTCTTCATGATTGTTACTTGGTTTCTTGTAACTGGCATAAATTATATCCTACTAGTGATATCAATGTGATAATTCTATACTTCAATATGACGGCTCACAAAAATGGGATCTAAGGATTCACAACACAACTGTTATTAAAATTTTTTAACTTTCGAGTATTGTAGGAAAGTATCAGTAAATATTCTTTTCTCTGCTTCACAACTATTATTTACAACTCTCTTGTTTATTTTTGATTGTCCAGCAACCGTCAGTTCGTAAATAATTGCCAATTCATGAATTTCGTCCCACCTATGATTATATCTTTTATCAATCGTTTCGTTTGCACTATTCTGTATCACTTGGATTGAATAAACTATCTATATTCGACAGACTTCCGCTTCCGCTTCCAGTGTCGTCTATATACTCAATAGTTCAGCTTTTTCGATTAGTTCCTGATTTTTCTGGAAACCTCTCGAGAAACACTTTTTATTACGCGAACAGTTATGTGTTGTGTGCGTTATCGAACGCGCTTCTGATATTTATTTACATGAAATATTTATAACCTAATCTGATCTAACCTAACCTAACCTGTAATTTTTAAAAAATCGCCTTTCGGATACTCCTTAAGGCCTTGTAGCCTTCACTTTCAGTTTGACGCTACTTCTTCATCCCCGTACACCTAATTAGCACTCCTGTATAATAAGAATTCATCAGACATTACAGAATAGAAACCGCAATTACATCACGATTGCAAGAAAACAATAATAATAATAAGACAGTGTCTGTACATGAATATGTATAAACATTTTGTTCAACCATTTATTTTTACTTGAGGTAAATTTATTATTTTGTTATGTATTCCATTTCCATTTTATTGTACATTAACTAGGTGTATACGTATATGAATACAGTGCGTTAGAGAAATGTTATAGACAATAGAGAATTGTATCCGACAAGATGTCTATTATTATTATCATCTGAACGCAACACTGAATGAAAATTATCACCTTGGGAATGCCAATGAGAAACCGTTTCAGACTAGCTCATAACAATTCGTTTAATGCTGAAAAAAGTTGCTGAGAACGTAGAAACGCTCATGTTCACAGTTAAATTACTTAATACGTAATGAACAAACAAAAAGGTGTTTTGTTTACATTCAATTCGGTTTCTTCAAGCCTTTTAAGAACAAATTACGCTACGTTAATTACTACGCATACCGTAGAAAATTGGGGATTAATAAAAATAAACCGGCGATAAATGTAAATAAAGTCGTTATTTCAGCCTATGTATATGGGCTAACAGAGCGATCTAGAATTACTTATTTCCACATCCATTATGCAGATATTTGAAACGATAATTAAAACACAACAATACCTATTGTTAACGTATTTATAACGTCACATTTTTAATACATGTAAAAACCATATAAAAATGTAACGCAAAGATAATATTTTTAAAAAACTTTGGAATGACGTAGCGGCGATGTCACTAGGAGCGCTACATTTCTAAATAATGAAACACCTAACCTTCGCATCAAAATAAGCTTTCACATTACGATGCATGCATGCGTGCATGCGAATTATATCCTCATAGCATAGCACTCATCCTAAAATCCGGAAATATACGCAGTATCAGCACAGCTACTAATTAAATATACTGTACGCAAGCACAACACGGGAATATGCATAATCATCTTGCTTTATTGAACAATTTATAGGCTGTGCCGTATGGCGTACCGGTCAATCGTATGCTTTTGTTTCTTATTAATTTATGTATGTTTATTTTATTACTTTTTAAAGGACGATAAGGTTACGCTAGGAAAAGACAATACGAACGAAGTAAGTGTTGACATGATCATGTCCTTTACGTTTGTGTGCAGTATATTTAGTAGATGGTGCTGGTGTCGCGTATATTTTTTGTACTGTAACGTAGACGCGCTTGTGTTGGTTATATTATAGGGTTGTTCGGAGTCATTTCGTTTTTTTTTTGTGGAAATGAAAGACAGTTTTCGTATAATAAACAAATACTTTATTAAGTTATATATTGACCGTTCTGGTCCAACACCTTTTGCCATCTTTCTGGTAGTAGCATAATTCCACGCTCATAAAATTTTTGGTCTTTGCTGGCAAAAAACTGATCGAGGAGGTTTTTGACCTCCTCATTTGAGGTGAAGGTTTTACCGTCTAAAAAATTTTGGAGTGACCGGAACAAATAATAATCCGATGGTGCCAGGTCTGGAGAATATGGTGGGTGTAGCATTGTATCCCATTCAAGCTGTAAAAGCTTTTGGCGAGTGACCAAACTTGTGTGAGGTCTCGCGTTGTCTTGGTGAAACACTACACCTTTCCTGTTGATTAGTTCTGACCTTTTCTGTTGAAGTGCATCATTCAGTTTGTCCAGCTGATGACAGTAGACTTCCGAATTAATCGTTGTGTTATCCGGTAAAAGCTCAAAAAAAACGATTCCTTTAAAATCCCACCAAACAGACAGCATCACCTTTTTTTGGTGAATATCGGCTTTGGAAATGGTTTGAGCCGGTTCATCTTTTTTGCTCCATGACCTCTTGCGTTTGACGTTGTTGTATACAACCCATTTTTCGTCCCCAGTGATGATGCGCTTCAAAAACGGATCATTTTCGTGACGTTTGAGAAGCGAATCGCAGACGTCAATGCGGCGACACAGATTTCTCTCTGTGAGAACATGGGGAACCCATACATCGAGCTTCGAGGATAATCCCAGGCCTTTCAAGTGGTCATAAACTGTTGAATTTGATAAATTTAACCTCAATCCGATCTCACGTGTTGTTATTCGCCGGTTCACATCAACTAATGCCTTTATCGCGTCTTTATCAGCTTCAACCGGCCTTCCCGAACGTGGTGCATCTTCGACATCAAAATTGCCGGATCGAAATTTAGCGAACCAGTTCTGGCACTGGCGTACTGTCAACACACCTTCTCCATACACATCAGTCAATTTCTTTCTGGCTTGAACAGCATTTTTGCCCTTTCTGTAGTAAAACAGTAAGATATGTCGAAAATGCTGCTTATCGCTCTCCATATTTAAAAGGGCACCAATCAAAAACTACTGCGTAGAATTAATTGGAATTTTTCACACACAAGCCTTGCTATATGAGCTCTCAAAGCATATAAAAATTAGACGGCTTAAATGTGAAGTTGGGCGCAAAAGAATACAATTAAATCCTCTGTCGGGGAAAAAACGAAATGACTTTCCGAACAACCCAATACATTTAGTGAACGTGTGGAATAATCATTTTACAAATTTTATTCAGTTACCAAGATTAGTTAGAAGAGTGGAGGTGCGTGTCCAACCAGTCTCAGAACTGACGACCTTATGATGATGATTCAATTACTTGCAGAATCAAAACTAATAAGGATAAAGAGTCCAGTTTTTAAGCCGACTTTATCAAAAAAAAACGCCATCTCTTTAGTTGGCAGCAGCGACTTAGTTGTTAGAACAAGACAAAGAGTAGAATAATTTTC